ACACGTGCATTTAGAAGCTTGACAAAGACTGTATAAGTCGAAACGTTGTGATAGAGTGGGTTCAATAAATTTGCCTGTTTTGTACCTTGAAGTGCCTGGACCTCTCTTCTATTTGCAGTATTTGGTCCCTGGTACTGGGACTGTCCTAGTTGCATCCAGCTACATACCACTTGGGACAGAGTGCAGTTCCACATTTCCACTACAACTACTTTGGAGTAGGGAAATCTGACAGAACACCGTCACCATTTTGTCTCCTCCTGTATGGCTGGCGAATGTGGCATTTTCTCCTGCCCTGTTTGTTGGTCCATTTATTTGGTCTGCTGTTGTATTAGGCTAGCCAGTGCTTGCTCTCTTATCAATGCACACCCCCTCCCTGTATGTATTGCTTGGCCTGGACTGTTCCTGGCCTGGTTTGGACAAATCCACTATTGGCGGATTGGTTTAGAATATCCAATTTCCACAAGTCAGTTTGTCATGTTTTAGCCAGTCCTATTTATAAGCTGAGTTGTCCTCAGCTTATAAATAGGACTCCTGCCCTGTTTGTTGGTCCATTTATTTAGTCTGCTGTTGTATTAGGCCAGTCAGTGCTTGCTCTCTTATCAATGCACATCCCATTCCCTGTATGTATTGCTTGGCCTGGACTGTTCCTGGCCTGGTTTGGACAAATCCACTATTGGCGGATTGGTTTAGAATATCCAATTTCCACAAGTCGGTTTGTCATGTTTTAGCCAGTCCTATTTATAAGCTGAGTTGTCCTCTCCCACTGAGTAGTTTTTAGCCAGGTCTATTTATGAACTGTGTTCTCCTCTCCCATTGGGTAGCTTTTACACAGGTCTGTTTAGACAGTTGTGCTCCTCTCCCACTGGGCTCACTCTGATTATCTTTGTCCAATATTCTTTGGATTCGTCACCATTGCCTAAGCCCATATCGTGGACAATTTGGCTAGCATCATGGAAACTATGGTGACTCTCTCCCCTGTTGGGAACATGTCTAACTAAATTTTGGGCTGTAATGTTACATACTCTGTTTAAGATACTTTCACTATGCCCTCCATAAAGTGCTGTATGTGCAGAGTGTATGAGTACTTGGCTCTCTGTTTTGTTATTCACTTACACTTTGCGCTTTAGGCTAGGTTATGTGCTGCTGTTTACTACTATTTGGCTGTGTGAGCCATTACGACCTCCTCTTTGTTCTCTACCTTTTAGTTTAAAACACTTTTCTTTAAGCGCTGGTTTGTCTTTACAAACAGCCAAAGGTGGCTGTTCAGATGTGTCACTCTAGGTCTACAAAAAGTTAATGCAAAGAAAGCCCCAGTACCAGATGGTATTCATCCATGCATGCTTAGGGAGCTTAGTGTAGAAATGTCCATACCTCTGTTTGGAATCAACATTCTTTTCTTTCAGGAATTGTATCAGAGGATTGCAGAAGAGCAGATGTGGTGCCTATATTTAAAAAAAAAAAAGGTTCAAAAGCTCAACCCAGAGTCTACAGATCCGTGAGCTTAAATGGACACTGCAATATCCAAAGTTCTAAATAAACACATTTAAAAAAAAATTCATTATTTAGTATATATACTCCAATTAAAACATTTATGCATTTTTTTCATTCAGTACATATATGAAAAAAGCTTGCAAAAGCTGCAGATCTCATGTATGCAGTATTTGCAAGCCCTCCCGTAATGCTAGAGCCAATACTTTTATGGCTGTCCAATAAAGACAGACTTCCAAGTGCATCTTAATGAGAAATATTTACAAAGCAGGTGATCTGGGCAATTGCTTGCCTCTTGCGTTTTTCTCCACTAAACTAAACAAACTAGGAGGTAACATGACTAGTTTTCTGAATGACAGCCAAGGGAGGTTTAATTTATAACAGTTTGAATTTCTACTGAAATCTGCACTTTTGTGCAGCTCAACATTCTCTTTGTTCCGACCAGATAGAAGATACTTGCAACACGAAATGTTCTCAGATGATATATGGAACAAAATAAAAATAGGACAATGGAGAAGTATATGGTGTAGAATGTCTTATGATATGGAAAATAAAGAAATATATTACCTTACAGTATATTGGAGCTATTATATAGCTCTATATCTATGCACATGGGAGGGACAATTCCCACTTTAGGAGGCTTATTATGTCTCTTGGTCCTGATAGAACCCACAAAGTATGTCATAAAAACAAAAAAATGACCATATAGTGTAGAATATTTGGATAGTGCGAGTTAAGTTATAATGCACTCACATGCAGCCTTGGAATGGCTTCTATTTGATAGCGTGATACAATCCCCAATCTAGGATTTGTTGACAAAAGTCCCCATGGCATGAAAGAGTGCAAATAAATGAAATTCTACTTACAGGTGTAGAGCAATATAGGTTTTACTCAATCCATACAGCATGGGTGGTATATTCCCCACTAAGGGAAGCGAAATATAAAAGGTAACTACATAGAGGAGGGTCCAGGAATCTTGATGATTTAATCTATATTTATTCTTGTTTAATATAAAAACTATAAAAATAACTAGTAATAGTAACACTTACACATTTTACAAAACAAAAGGCTTTCTCAGTGTGTTACAGTGGCCTGGACAAACATTAATTTTACAACAAACAGTAAATTCAAATTTGTGACAACATGGTCATGTGACAACGAAAAAAACATTTGAGTCTTATAAAGTTAAAATTTGACTATTAAAAACGTAACTAAAAGTATTTATAGTTGATAACTATGTTAAAACACGTATAACCAATTAAGAAATGCCTAGAAAGGTATTCCAAGATGGCGCTGAGTTGTGTGTTACATGACACATGTCTCGGAACATAATAAAATCAAAACGAAATATAACATAAATAGTCCAGTTAAGGTAGAAAGGGACAGGAGAGAATATTGCCTTGCTGTACTCACTCTCTTTATTAACTGCTTTCTCCTTTCCAATACTTTTGATCTGCCTGTGTTTTTATTTTTCTCTTTATGCTAGTTTAGTTTTAGTTTTCTCATCTTTATGCCTCTTGTTTACTCCTTTTTAGGACAAGCATGTACTCTCCCACAGCATTTATGTTGTACTGAATTTTGCATAGTACACTATTCTGTGCTAACCCAAGGGTGTCCAACCTTTTGGCTTTCCCGAGCCACAATGAGTGAAGAGAAATTGTCTTGGACCGAACATAAAATATATAATATAATAAATTGATAAAATAAAACTTATTTTTTTAAATTTTGATATTTAACCCCTTAAGGACGGAGCCAAATGTACACGTTGTGAACAAAACAAAATGTAAACAAAACCTGGCATTTCCGCTACATGTCTGTCCAACCGTAATACACCTCTTTCATAGTAAATGCACCCACCCTTATTATATATCATTTTATTCAGGGGAAACAGGGCTTTCATTTAATATCAAATATTTAGCTATGAAACATAATTTAATATGAAAAAATGGGAGAAAATACGATTTTTTTTGATTTTTTTAGTTCTACATGACATTTTAACGGTCAGTGTCATAATACTGTTTGCTTTTACTGCAATAAAATACACATATTTGTATTCAGCAAAGTCTCACGTGTAAAACAGTACCCCCTATGTACAGGTTTTATGGCGTTTTGGGAAGCTACAGGGTCAAATATAGCACGTTACATTTGAAATTGAAATTCGCCAGATTGGTTACGTTGCCTTTGAGACTGTATAGTAGCCCGGGAATGAAATTTATACCCATAATGGCATACCATTTGCAATAGTAGACAACCCAAGGTATTGCAAATGGGGTATGTCCAGTCTTTTTTAGTAGCCATTTGGTCACAAACACTGGCCAAAGTTAGCGTTAGTATTTGTTTGTGTGAAAAATGTAAAATTCCAATTTTGGCCAGCGTTTGTGACTAAGTGGCTACTAAAAAGGACTGGACATACCCTGTTTGCAATACCTTGGGTTGTCTACTATTGCAAATGGTATGCCATCATAGGGGTAATTTTCATTCTTGGGCTACCATAGGGTCTCAAAGGCAACGTAACCAATCTGGCGAATTTTAATGTGAAAAAAATGAAACGCAAGCCTTACATTTGACGCTGTAACTTTTGAAAACACCATAAAACCTGTACATGAGGGGTACTGTTGTACTCGGGAGACTTCACTGAACACAAATATTTGTGTTTCAAAACAGTAAAAAGTATCATAGCAATAATATTGTCCGTTTAATGCTGTTTGTGCGTGAAAAATGCAAAAAACTTCACTTTTACTGGCGATATCATCGTTGTAATACATTTTACTGTTTTGAAACACTAATATTTGTGTTCAGCGAAGTCTCCCCGAGTAGAACAGTACCCCCCATGTACAGGTTTTATGGTGTCTTGGAAAGTTATAGGGTTAAATATAGTGCTAGCAAATTAAATTCCCTTTACTTTCGGCATGGGTTGTCATGCAGGTCCTGCTAATTGTAATTAATTAAGATACCTAATTATGTAAAAATATTACATAAATATATATGTAGAATCACTATATGTATATATATACGTATGTGTATATATATGTATATATCTATATAATTTTTTTAAAATATTTTTATTTATATATAGGTATATATATAGTGATATATACGTATATATTTATGTGTATAAATATATATATTATTTCGTTCTGTGTATTTTGATATATATATATATATATATATATATTAATTTCACAATACAGTTAGAACGAAATAACACACATCTATATATTTTTTAATTATTTATTTTTAATTATTTTTGTAATTTTATTTTTTAACTTATTTACATTTTAATTTTTTTTATAATATATATAAATATATATATAACAATAATTATATATATATTTAATCAGTATCAGTCTACGTGTAATTTGATATTAATATATATATATAATTATATATATATTAATAGTAAAATACACCTAGATGCTGTACATGTGTGTATGTATATGTGTATATATATACTTTGATCATATATATATAATATATATATATGATCTAAGTATATATAATTTTATTTTTTTACACTTTTAACTTATTTTACTTTTATTTTCAGCCAGCAGGGGGACCCCGTGTAATTACAGGCAGCCCCCCTGCTGGCAATACAGAAGCCAGCTATACCCGGCCATGTGATTGTGGGGTCCTCGCTAGGACCCCACTCTCACACGGCCGGGGGGCTTCCTGGAGGACGGTCGTGCCGCGGGGGGGTCCCTGGGAGTCCCCCCCACCGCGATCGCCGGCGTGGGACCGCCGGCGACCGGGTAAGTACAGAAAGACCGGAGGGCGTACTATTACGCCCGGCGGCGTTTAGAGCCGCCTATTAGAGGACGTAATAGTACGCCCTCCGGTCTTAAGGGGTTAATTTGTTTAGTAGATAACTCTTACTTGTTATCCTTATGTAGGATTGACATATTTATGGATACCGAATTAGGGAGCTATCTGTTAAACACATACACATATACACATAATCAATGATGTACACATACACACAATCATAGATATACACACATATAATCACAGGCCTATACACACACACACACACACACAATCAGACTTATTTACATACTCAATCACATACATACACACAATCACAGACATACACACACATACATATAATCACAGACATACACATTATCACAGACCCACACAACCACAAACCCACATATGTACACATACAATCGCAGACCCACACACACATACAATCACAGACCTATACACACAATCATATACATACACACAGAAATACACACAATCACAGATATACACTCAGGCATACACACAATTACAGACATACACAAGCACAATCACAGACCCACACAAGTACACATACAATCACAGATTGTATTATTCTCACAACAGCAGAAAGTTCCACAATGTGCGGGTAATGAACACAAGCAAACCACTTGTAGCTGTAGTGCCCTAGACATTTGCTTTTATTTCAATTTCCCAGCAGGAGTGTGTAAGTAAAACAGGTAAGGACACATTTTTCCTGGGAACACAGAGCACATGGCCTCTTTCTCTTGGCCCCCCCTCTGTGCTCCTGATATAACAGGGGAAATGGCAATGTTCAAAGTCTCAGTAGCTTAGTGCAAGTCAGCTGTTACAGAAGTGTGGGGGGCAGGGCCGGATTAACATAGGGGCTGATGGAGCTGCAGCTCCAGGCCCAGGCCCATGGAATAGGCCCATTGATTTATAAAAAAAGAATTTTTTTTTTTTTACATTTTTTTTTTTCACACACTACTCTTAGGGATTCCACCTGGCTTTTATTTTATTGGCACAGTATTTGAGGCTGCCTGGCTGGTGCCAATATTACAGTGATACTGGCAATACAAATGCTGGTATTTTTCTCAGTATAAATGGAGATTACTATGCAATACCAGCACTGGCCAGTAGGGGTCACTGTGTGTGGAGACAGGCAGAGATAGGAAGTTCCAGCATATCCCTCCCTGCCTATCTATACTCACTGATCTGCAGGGGTGCAGCTACAGAGAGTCCAGACAGCAACTTCCACCCTGCAGAGACAGCCTACAGCTCAGGGAAGTGAGGGATGGGGGGAAAGGCTGCAAGGAGATATACTGAGACACTAAGGGACATTGGGAGACATTATGGCAGACACTGAGACACTAAGGGACATTGGGAGACATTATGACACAGACACAGTCTTCCAGTGTCCCCTATGTCTCCCAGCCAGTGTCCCTGGTGTCTCAGTGCCCCCAGTCTGCCAGTGTCTCACTGTCCCCATGTCTCCTAGTGCCTCCATGTCTCCCAGTGCCTCAAGTGTCTCAATGTCCCCATGTCTCCAAGCTAGTGTCCCTAGTGTCTGTGGCCCTGGTGTCTCCTTGTCCCCATGTTTCCCAGTGCCCCCATGTCTCAATGTCCCCATGTCCCCCAGCCAGTGTCTCTAGTGTCTGTGTCCCCATGTCTTCAAGTGTCCCCTATTTTCCCAGTGTCCCCATGCGTCCCAGCCAGAGTCCCCTAGTCTCCCAGTGTCACTGGTGTCTCCGTGTCCCTAGGTCTCCCCGTGTCCCCAGGTCTTCCCGTCTTCCTAGTGGCATGGGGCTCTGGGATACATGGGATCACTGGGAGACCTGGGGACACGACACTAGGGGACACTGGGAGACATGGGGTACTGAGACACTGATACATAGGAACACTGAGACCTGGAATAATCGACACATGGGGGCACTGGGAGACATGGGGCCACTGGGAGGAATCTATCTATACAGCAGAATCAAACTAAGTAGTTTTTTTGTGATTTTACAGCATTTTCTCTTATGTCACTCCTTGTGATTTACATCATGTGATGTCACCCATACATATTTAATTATGCAAATTAGCAAGGCCGGTATGTTTTTCCAAGAAAGGTGGCAACTCTAACTACTTTTCACATACCCTTACTTAAGTATGGAAACTTAAGAGGGATATATTGGAACAAAACTTGTGTGGACTGGCTGACAATGAATATAGTTAAAGGGACACTAGGGTCACCAGAACAACTACAGCTTATTGAATTTGTTCTGGTGAGTAGAATCATTACCGTCAGGCTTTTTGCTGTAAACACTGTCTTTTCGGAGAAAATGCAGTCTTTACATTACAGCCTAGTGTACTCAGCCAATCCTATGGGTAAGCACTGTGATTGGATTAGGCCACCACTTCTAATGATGTCAGCAGACTGCTTGTTTTTCTGAGTCTAACAGCATGCAGAGTTACAGCTTCAGGCTTGAATACATATGGATTTTGCTATATTTATGGAGGCATGAGGGGCCCAGGGGGGCTAGATGGTGGTGTTAACACTATAGGGTCATGAATTCATGTTTGTGTTCCTGACCCTATAGTGATCCTTTAAGGTAATGCTGACTTTGGTCTCTCTAACAATGTGCTTCTACACTCACTACATACAACTTTTCTCTGTCCCAGACTATATACCAGGAGATTCTGCCTGCTAGTAAGAAGGTAAGGAGACAAGTGGACCAGCAAATGCTAGGGGACACTCCTTAGAAAGCGTTGAGCGAGCGCATCATTAGATAAATTTATGCCAAGCTCAGGGTGCTGTCTGCATAGTATGCCCTTAGTTGGCTAGCTGCATGATTGGCAGGCAGCCTGACATGCATTCATACCAGGCTGGCCTAATTCTTTGGGCAGACATATCCTCTTTTTGGGCATGTTCGCCCCTTTTGGCAGGTTACGTGATTTGTGTCAGTGGCACACCCTTTTACCCCGCACATTGACTTCCTGCTTGACTGGACACTGCTGTTAGGGGTTATGGATTTACTTGAAAGATGAAAACATAAATTAGTGAGAGATTAGCCTAGGGTGTTTTCTTATAGCTGCTGTTTTCTATCTCTCCAGCACCATCTCCATCAAATACATGACGCTTGGGAGTGTTTTACTGTTTTTGGTCGATATGATTCTGTAATTAGGCCCGTCATAATTGTCAGCACCAGGTCCACTGGGCTCTTAATCTGGCCCTGGTGGGGGGGTGTTTTGTTCAATGCTTGCATCATTGATTGAACTATACACAGATGCAGTATCCATATTGCCCTAAATAGCCCCCTTTGTATTCAGTCCATATAGCATTTGCTTTGTATTTAGTAGATATAAAGGTAGCTCTGTTATTAGATCCCATAAAATGTTCTCCACAAGCTGGTATTCTGAGTTAAGTTCTCACTCCTCCATATAATTGGCCTGCCAAATTCTAAGTTCTAAAGATCTTTAATGACCCTCAGGAGGCAGTAGAACATTGAAATTCTAGGTGATCTGCAATACATAAAGTCAAACTTATATTTTGAATTTATATTCTGTAATGTATCTATCAGAGTCCCCTGAATCCTAGTAATTGCACTCACTCTTGTGACACATCTAACTTTCATTTTTGATTATTTTCTTTTTTTCTGATTTAGGTAGGGATATTTTGTGTGCTTCACTATATTTGAATTTCTAGAGACTTTTATTTATTTATTTTAAACTTCTTTATTTGATTTTCCAAACAAAAAACATATATCCAGGGCACAAGCGCTGCGCAAAATAACATAAATAAAGATATATCATACGACATACATTACATTTACATTACTTGAAACAACACCGATGGGGATTATTGGGGAAGCCTCCTTCCATTAACTCTTGATAGCCCAAAACATAATTGATGCTGCAATTGTGTTCAGGTTTTAATTCCGTCAATCTCTATTTCTTTCAGCCAGTGATCACGTATATCCTGTGTTTTTAAATTTGGACCCTGTGACATGGATATTAAAGCTTCCATCCTTAATTGGTAAAAGACTTGTGTTTAAAAATTATCTAGTATAAAGTGTGCTATTCCAAGCTACAATTAATTTTACTGCCGAATCTGAGTTACCTGGTGTGGTTGGGGAAAAAGGATGCTTGGATTAAATTGGCCAGTATCTCCAGCGTTTGTTTGGACTGTTATATGAATGGGGAAAGATGAAACGCATGTATGGTCTAGAAAACAAAGTACTGAGAAGTCTCAAAGTAACAGACATTCCATTATTTGTTAGGGATTTGTGTGTTGAGGGGTGAACTCAAAAAGGCATAATGCAGATTAATCATTTAATGTTTAATGATAATATTAAATCATTTGCAACAATTACTCAAGAGTTTCAATTATCACCTAAAGAGTGGTATAATTATTTTAGGATTAAAAACTTTATTAACACTCTTAAGGATTAACACTCTTTATAATCCCTCATAACGCACTGATATCTTAATAATGAGATGGTACATCAAGTAGCTTCAAAAGCCAGAAGAGGTTTGTTAAAAATAGAAGCTCCTATTACTAATCTGATCATCCAAAAATGGGAGAAAGATCTTAAAATTAAAATTTCGACCTCAAACAACTAAAAACATATACTGTTTGAATATTATAGAAGTGGTATTTAAGGTACTGAACAGGTGGTATTAGGTACCATCTAGGATGGCTAAAATGTACAACTCAAGCTCCCCGATGTGCTGGAGACAAATATTATGGCTCCTTTTTACATATATGGTGGGAATATGAAATGGTGGAGGAGTTATGGGCAAAGGCCTTTTACAGGTTAGAAAGGTTAATAGGAAAATGAATTCCCAGAGCTCCAGAAAACCAGGGCCGGATTAACATAGTGGCTGATGGAGCTGCAGCTCTAGGCCCATACTCATAGAATAGACCCACTGATTTATAAAAAAGTAACAAATTATTATTATTATTTTTCTTTTTACACACTACTCTTAGGGTTGCCACCTGGCCGGTATTTATTTGAGGCTGTCTGGCCGGTGCCGATATTGCTGTTATACCGGCAATACAAATGCCTGTATTTT